GATGACCCTCGGTCCCGTGCTTGCCCCACGCAGTTCTGCGGTACCATCGTGCTCATCTTCTTCCTGGAGCTGGCTGTGGCCGTGCTGGCCTTCCTCTTCCAGGACTGGGTGAGAGACCGGTTCCGCGAGTTCTTCGAGAGCAACATCAGATCCTACCGGGACGACATTGACCTACAGAACCTCATTGACTCCCTTCAGAAAGCCGTAAGCACTGCCGGCGCTGGCCTCCCGGGTAGAGTGTGGGCTTCCATGGCTGGGGACGGTGCTTCCGGCCTCGGCTAGTGGGGAACCCTGGGCATCCATCCTCAGCCCGGCAGGTAGCGGGGAGGCTGTGGGAGGTGCCGCTCCCGCCTCTGGTCAGTTTAGCTTTGCCTGCCCGTGGTTGCCTGGATGTGTGGGCGTGTTCACAGTGTGTCTTCCACCATTTGCATGGGGCAGGCAGTCTAGCTGCCCCCGCGGCCTCCCTCCCCCTGGGGCCCAGGTCTCTCCAGTCCCGGCCATGCAGGCGGCCGCAGGTCCCCGGGCGCTGTGGGTACCCAGGGGCGGAGCGTCTCCTCCCCCCAGTGCGTGACTCACCGTCTGAGGCTATTCCTGTCTCCTTCCTCCCTGGGACCTTTTCCCCTTCCTGTTCGACAGGGCAGAGCAGCCTGGAGGAAGCTTCCCCAGATGGGGAGGAATGTGACCTCCCCGGAATATGTCCCCAGGGGGCTGTCTCAGCTCAGCCATCCCAGGCCTGGGCCTTGACTCCATCTGGCCCCTGTCTCCCCTGTGTGCGTCTGCACCTGGAGGCTTGGACCACAGCCATCCCCGCCCTAGGGGGGCCCACTCCCCACCACCGGCTGGGGCAAGGCCATCGTGTGATCTGTCTGTGCGCTGCCGGAAAACCTCGCTTCCTCAGGGACTTCATGTGGAATGCTTGGGTTCTGAGAAGAAAATAAGCAAGCAAGCATTAAAAATAACTCTGGTCCACTCTCATGTTCACGAAAACTTGTTTACCCTTATGTCGTGTATCTGGGGATCCAGCCAAACCCACTTATGTGACCAGAGACCCTGTGTCGTAATAGTGACTGGCACTCGTCTGCGACAACCCCATCGCAGCCCCTTCCTCCCGCCCCTCACTGAGCCCGCCCGCGGTTCCCGTTGTCCCAGCACCTCGCTGTGCCCGGGCGCTCCTGCCCGCACCTGCCTTGAAGCCAGGGCGCTCTTCTTCAGTGCCGCCTTTCCCCTCGAAAGTACGTTCTCCAGAGGCACTCAGTAAATTGTGGAGATTCCTCATGCTGAGATACTCGGGAACCATGAAAGCAGCTGGAACAGGGCAGGGTAAAGGGGGGGATGGGATTTTCTCTTAGAAGTGAAAGAAGACAGCCGGGAATCCTGGTCCCGTGTTTGTTGTGATCACGGCCACAGCCATGTTAGCAGTCAGGACAAGTGTGAAAACGGAGTCTGCTCCTGCTCTGGGACGACCTTGACATCACCGTGCTATTGTCGGTGTTTGGCTGTTTTACAAGTTTTAGATGGCGATTCTCTTGGTGACTACACCAGATAATGGGGGTGTGCAGAGACCCCAGGTTATGGGGGACAGAGCTATGATTGTGTCACTGTCCACCCCGCTCACAATTCTGGCCTTAGGAGTCAGACGTCCAGCAGCTGTGTTTTGTAAGGAGGCACCTAAGGGAAGTAAGGCCAGCTTGGAAATTTCTCTGGGAGGGAGCTGCACTCACAGCCCACAAGGTGGGGTTCTCAGGGGCACGAGAGAACTGCATCAGAGGTACTGAGTGGCCTCCGAGGAGGGTGAGGAATCTGCTCTGGGTTGAGGGGAGGGGAGGAAGGGGAAGCTCCAGGGGGAGGAAGGTCTGGACCAGAGTGCCGTGTCCCAGCGGAGGCCAGGGGGCACTGCGGAGCCAGTCCTGCCTGCTGGACCCGGCGGGGGCGGCGGGGGTGGTGGTGGTGGTGGTGGCGGCTCATGGCCGAGTTTCCTGGTTTCCTTCTTAAAAGGCTGCCCAGGTCATGCATCTCTGTGCATGCAGGAGGTCAATGGGGGGCGCTTCCTGTCGTGTCCCCGCTCCCCTCTGGGTGGTCACAGCTCTGGCTCAGAGCCGGAGCCCCTAACAGCTCTCGGCTTTTGTGATCCCAGAACCAGTGCTGTGGGGCATATGGACCTGAAGACTGGGACCTCAACGTCTATTTTAACTGCAGCGGCGCCAGCTACAGTCGCGAGAAGTGTGGGGTGCCCTTCTCCTGCTGCGTGCCGGACCCTGCGGTGAGTTGGCCTGCCCCGGGGCACGTGGAGAGCAGTTCCGGGCTCTGGAGGCTCCGGGCTGCTCCTCTTCGGACCACCCTGTGCTCCCTCCGCACACCGCCGCCTGGCTCCTGCAGCGCCCAAGTTCTCTGTGTGTACATCCCAGCAACGGTTTTGCATGACCTACCCTTGCCCTAGTGTTCTGGGTGAAGCGGGAGAAAACCAGTCGTGTCCCCCCCTCGAGGGGCTCTCACGCAGGGCGCCTGGATGAAATGCTAGAAACGCGGTGAGCCCTGGGCCGCCCTCTTCACTGTCCTCTGGAGAGAATGCCCGGGCAGTGGGGGTACTCACCGTCTGGGGGTGGTGGAGGATTCTCGCCTTTCTTCACCTGGTCTCACTCCCAGCCCATGGCCTGGGTCCCTGGGTTCCAGAAACGGGGCTCTTGGGGTGACCTGCGAAGGGGCAGTGAATGTTTGCTGGAACTGTGAACCCTTTACAGCTGTGGTACTGGGCCCCGGGGCTCCAAGCAGGCCCGCTCCCCAGCCTAGGAGAGGCTCGGGTCTGCTGCGGCCACACAGCTAGGGCCTGAGATCTCCACTGTGCCCGTGAAATACCGAGCGAGCGGAACTTGCATCTCCCAGCGCAGACACTAGCAAACTATGACCCGTGGACCGGATCCAGCCTCCTTTGTGTAGGATCTTTGAGCCAAGAACAGTTTCACCCATTTTTAAATGGTTGACAATAAATGAAAGGAAGGATAATATTTTGTGATAGGTGAAAATTATATGAAATTTGAATTTCAGTGTCCATAAGTTAAGTTTTGCTGAAATATGGCCATGTGCATTTGTTATGTATCATCCATGTCTTCCTTCATGCTCTGTGAGCAGAGTTGAATAGTTGCTATGTAGACAGGTCTCCCTCACACACACAGCTGGCCAACCTTTGTCCTAGTATGAAAGGTTAGTTGGCATCGGGATTAAAGGATGTGAGCTATAATGGAATTTGTAAAGGTGTTTGCTGATGTTTGTTTGGGACTTTTCTAGAGCCTTCCACCACTGGCTTCCCAAGAGAACAAAAATGACCAATTTCTTCCTGCTTTTCTTACAGCAAAAAGTTGTGAACACACAGTGTGGATATGATGTCAGGACCCAGGTGAGCACCTGATGCATGCAACTTTGAGTTCGTCAGGTTTATTCCCTGTGGTCCAGCATCCTGATTTAGCACAAATGCATACTGGAGTGGGTGAGACTTGGGGAGGTGCCATCTAAGCTGGGAGCGAGCTGGGTAGGAGCCGCTGGTGGCAAGACTCCCGGGAACAGTGAGGGGGGTGATTCCCAGCCCTGTGAACTGCAGTCACAAAATCTAGCAGTTGCTGCATTAGCGGGAAGAGGTCAGATGAAAGTTTCGGGAACAAAGGCTATATTTTTAATGACTCCTTGGAGTCCCAGGAGGTGTCTGTTCTCTAGGAGTTCAGGATGAAGCTGTAGGAGCGCGTGGCTTGGTTTAGCTGCCATACTGAGGCGGGGGTGACAATGAGCAGGGAGATGGGTCTTGGGGCGGGAGAAAGGCTCAGTCCTCCAGGGCTTTCTTCAGGCCACAGGGGGTGTGGGGATGAAGAGAAGTGAGTGTCCCCCTCCCTGCTGGCACTGCTCTGTGGCCTTTGGTGGTATGAGTGACTGATGTTCTGAAGGAGGGAACTTGGGGAATCCGCGGAACTTGGGGAACTTGGGGCATCAGGGATGTGTGCCTCCGGTTTGGGAGGCCCGAAGCCCTTCTGCAGAGATCTCTGTCCGTTGGACAGGATGGGCCTGTACCAGCATTGTCCTCTCATTGCCACTTGCATTAGATTCTAGGGCTGTCATAACAAGTAGCCCAGACTGTGGCTGATACAACAGAAACTTCTCTCCTCAGAACTCGCGGTCAGAAGTCCGACATTAGGGTGTTGGCAGGGTTGGTCTGAGGCCTCTCTCCTGGCCTTGTGGGTGGCTGCCTTCTCCTGTGTGTGTGCCCACCTCGTCCTCCCTCTGTGTCTTTTGGTGTCCTGATTGCTTTTTTTTAAAGATTTTATTTATTTATTTGATAGAGAATGAGAGAGAGAGAGACCATGAGAGGGGGGAGGGCCAGAGAGAGAAGCAGACTCCCCGCTGAGCAGGGAGCCCGATGCGGGACTCGATCCCGGGACTCCACGATCATGACCTGAGCCGAAGGCAGTCGCTTAACCGACTGAGCCACCCAGGCGCCCCTGATCACTTTTTATAAGGACACCAGTCATATTGGATTAGGGCCTACCCTGATAACCTCATTTTAATTTATCTCTTTTTTTTTCATATAGTCTTTCTCTTTCTCTGATTTATTTCGCTTAGCATAATACTCTCTAGCTGCATCCACGTTGTTGCAAATGGCAAGATTTTATTCTTTTTTTATGGCTGAGTAATAATCCATTGTATATATGTAACACATCTGTTTTTCCCTCAGATCTAGAGTTTGGGTTCGGTTTAGGGCCAGCGTAATGGTTAAGGTGTTAGGGTTGGGGACAGTGTGAAGGTATCTGCCTATTATCCTGCAGTTCAGAGACCTCTGTGGAGGGATAACTTTAGAGTTAGGGTTATCATTAGGGTTAGGGGTTAGGGGCTAGGGTGAGGGTATGGGTATGTGCCTGGTATCCTGCTGTTGAGAGATCTCTCCAGAGGGTTCAGTTTAGCGTTAGGGTTAGGGTTATGGGTTATATTACCTCTTTAAACACCTGCCTCCAAATGCAATCACATTCTGAGGAATTGGGGGTTAGGACTTCAACGTCTGAGTTTTAGGGGGACACAGTTCACACAGTTCAGCCCCTCACCCCACTGAAATGGATTACTAATCCATCAGTATTGCCATGGGTGAGGCTGCATGCGGGTGAAGGTGGGCTGTGTGTGCTGAGGGCACCTCCTGTGTGCCTACTGAGTCTCCACTAAGGGTCAGGATTGGAAGGAGCCTGCGGGCTTATGACCGTTCCTGTGACCCTGGCTCCTGGAGCCAAGCTTAACTGGGTGGGGGACACACTCTGGGAAACCACTGTCCTCTCCTTCCCCGGCCAACTTCTCTGACTTAGAAGATGCTGAAGGCCCTTCTAGTTTCTCTCTTTAAAGGCACATCTTTCTTCTTGAGCCCTGAGGCCCCTCCCTCCCTGTCCTTCAGATGTGGGCTCTGGAGCTGTGTCCCTCTTTCAGTCTGGGGAGGCCCCACCAGGACTGGGTGAAGACCGCCGCCAGGGAGCCTTTGTTGGGGCAGAGTAGAAGATGCAGACTGCCTGGGGAGATGGGAGAGGGCAGAGACTGGGGCAGGTGGATGCAGTTCTCCTGGAGAGTTCTGTCCATCCTTGGCACTCACCTTCCAGCACCCTGGCTCCCACCGAGCCTCACCCTGCCCACTGCGGGAACCCTCTGGGGAGCCGGGGTGGGGACGCCCCACATGTCTTGGGCTCAGGTCACTGTGGTGTTTCCCTGCAGCTGAAGAGCAAGTGGGACGAGTCCATCTTCACAAAAGGCTGCATCCAGGCACTGGAGGGCTGGCTCCCGCGCAATATTTACATCGTGGCCGGGGTCTTCATCGCCATCTCCCTGCTACAGGTTCGTTTCCCCTGCCCTTTGTGGCTTCCTTCGTCCTTGCGGGTCGCACCTGTTCATTTGAGCCAGATCGCACGTGGGAAGACTGGTGGCCGAGAGAACGAGGAGGGGGAGGGGAGGCAAGAGCTCTGCGCATCAGAGAAACCAGGAGTTCTCCGGGGTGCCCGGGGCTTGGGAGGAGAAGCCCGCAGCCCCCAAGCAGCCTCCGGGACGGCTGCCACCGCCGTGGGGAAAGCTCGTCGTTCACCTCCCACGTGGTGCCGTGAAGAGGGTGCCTGACGCGGCCCGGGGCCTGCTCCCCGTCCACACACTCCTTCCTCCTTCACCCTGCGAATGTGTGTTGAATGATCTCTGAGGGAAGCTCAGACGCAGAAGTACCTAGAAAAGGAAAGAACAAATTTACTTGCCAAACGGGCAAAGCAGTCAGACTTCAGAAGGACTGGCTCATCAAATGTAGACCACAACAAGAATTTAAAGGGGAAGTAAAATTCCAAGATTTCCGAGTTCATGTTGGTCTGTTTCTGGTAGAAAAACTGTCTTCCCACATGACGATGCTGGTCACCAAGGTCAGATGGCAGCACTGCTAAAATCAGGGAGAACCTTGTTTTTATTGTGGAATCCAGGTTTACAGGAAACATCAAGATTTATTATTTTGCGTCAGAACCAGTCAGGTGACTCTGTTATTTTTGGTTTAACTCTGGGTGCAAAGTATGCCCCAGCTCATGGTATGTGACGTGCATGGCCCTGTCGGAGGCAGGCTTTCTGTGCTGCCTGCCATGTGCCCCAAACTTCTAGGCCCCAGGGATATAGCAAAACAGACCCCAGGTCTCACTTTTTACTGGTGGGTGGGTCTTGTTTTGCCACAGGCCTGGTTGTTTTTCTGTGTGCCGCATCCTCAGTGTGCAGAGCAGGCCTGGGGCTGGTGTGCAGTGCAGGCTTCCCCGTGCACCTTGCCGTCAGGCCCCAACACTGACAGCCTGTCTGGCTTTGGTTTCAGATTTTTGGCATCTTCCTGGCGAAGACCTTGATCTCGGACATTGAGGCGGTGAAGGCAGGCCATCACTTCTGAGGGAGAGAGGTGAGCAAGCAGAGCTGAGCCACGCTGTGGAGGCCAGAGCCCTTCACTCTTGTCAACTCGACATCCAGAGGGAGAGAAGTGGACGCACCCAGCCAGAGCCAGCACCCTGTCTTCGGCATCACCGTGCTGCGACCTCCCTGTTTCTGTTTGCTGGTGCTGAAGACCGAGGGGCCCCTCTGACCTGCACGGACTTGGGACGGAGACCCCCCCCCCGACTCGGGGTCTACCCAGAGACAGAGAAAATGTCTTTAAGTGGGGGTGGTGACTCTGAGGGACAGAAGGCTCCCGTGGCTGTGAAAAGGGCTTGACTTGGTTCTCCTGGAGACTAAGCGTGTCTGCAGGGCACCCTGGCCTCCCAACTCGTGTCACCGGTGCTGGCCTGGAGGGCAGCCTCATCTGCTGCGGGTGGGACATGGGGGCGGGGGGGGTGGGCCCAGCAGGCACGGACGAGGCTTCTCCCAGCAGCAGAAGGACCTGGGGAGGGCTCGGGGCACAAGTGGACCGTGCCAGCAGAGCCTGTGCTGTCTGCACAAGTTGGGGGATGTTTGCGGGATCCTCAGCCGTGTCCAAGTAAGCCTGAGCCATGTGTGGACGGGTGCCACGGAGCACCCCCTCCGCTGCCCCTGCCAGGGCAAGACCCGCCTCCAGTCTCACAGAGGTGTGCCCGATGGCACAGGGGGTAGGGGGGCGTGGGCAGCGTTCTCCTCTGAGTCGGCTCTCCCTCTCTGAAAGTGTGTAAATAGTTTATTTATAGGGATAAGAATGTTCTCACACCGTTTCTTCATTTCCTCTGGCATTCCCTCCAAGCAGCCTTACATGGTGTCTGGGACTGAAGCCATCCCTCTCAGTTCCCTCGAGTGTCTCAAGAACCAACCCCATCACTTCTCCTTTCCATGCCTCACAGCCCAGGTGCACACGTGTGCTCCCTCTTCCTCTCTGCACCCCCAGCTCACATGCACCCACTCCCCTCCCCAGCTTGGCCTCACTGGCTTCTGGTCTTGGTGCTACTAAAACCGCCACCCGGAACTTGAATCCTGACCCCCCCCCCCTCCGCCGCCTGCCCCCAGGCAAGGGCCAGGGAGCCCCAGCCAGAGGCGGCAGCCCAGAACCTGTGACCAGGGCTCCTCTCGAGGCCACGTGCTAAGGGCCGCTGGTCGGCCTGGCATTTGCCTCTCCCTGGAGAGCGGACCTGTGGCCGGGCCCCTCTGTGGAGCTGGAGACCTCGGCCTGCAGCTGTGTAGAAGCAGCTCGGGATGGTTCTTTTTTTTGGCTAACTTTTGTGATGACCCCCCTCCACTGTCCCCAATCAGGATATCTGTGGTGATCATGTCCACCCTCCCTGGCAGGGCTGTCCTGGGGCTTGCTCTTGGAAATGAAGTCTGTCTTATGTACCGAGTGGTTTGTGCGTCTTTGGCTGGGCTCCTAACGCTTCTCTGGGTCTTGTACCAGTTCTGTCCTCATCGTTCAGGGATTGAGTGCTACCTTCACTGACTTGCCGAAGTGTACATGCTAGTGTGGTGTATACTGGTGGGTGTTTGTTAATGATGGTATGATTTTTGTTTTTGTTCTTGTTTTTTTTTTTCTTTACAATTTTCTCTGTAGACTAGAGGAAGAAGAATGCTTGTGTTTTCAGGAAGTGTGATGCTTTTCTTTGACTGCCAAACTCTTTTATGGAATATATCTTTATATTAATGCTGTTGTCCTGGTGGTTTTTATTTTGAGTGATATCAAGATGGCATTAAGCATTGCAGGGGTAAACTCACCTGCCCAGGGAACCAGGGGGACTGGGTGTGACTCGACACAACAGGACAGTGGAGGGTAACGGCAATCATGGCATAATCCAGAATAACTTTCATCAAGTGATTCGTTTTAGATTCTGTATGCCACTTTCAGTTATCCTTTGTGTGGCGGTTACAGCTGGAACAAGCGGGCTTGTGGCTTGGTTATGCCCAGCTAGAAGCATGAGGCAGAACGTTGACTCTGCAGGCCGGGAGGGAGTGCGTTAGGCTACCTCTGTCCAGCCCCGGGCAGTACGATCCAGGCAAGAGAGCTTGGGGACCCTGGGTGGGGATCTGGGCACAGCTGCCACACGGGTATGTCTGGACCTGCTGGCCCAGCTGTAAAGGGTTAGTGTGCCTCTGACCCATCCTGCCCTGGGGGAGATGGTGGCTCCGGACCCAGCGCTGCTGGTGCGTGGACACCCAACAGCTTAGCTTCCGGCACCGCTCCTGCTGGCCCATCTCTTGAGGTCGACCGGGTGGCCGGACCCCTTGCAAGTCTCTTGACAGCTCACAGTCCAGCTCTGGGTGAAGACTAGCTATGACTTTTTCGAAGTTGAGTTTGTTTTTCAATTAGTTTCCAAAACTCTGGCCATTGGAGCCATCCCCTCTGACTCTGAGCGGCTGGAGAATAGAGAGGAGGCCCAGCGGAAGTGGTGCACGTGTGGCCGTCTCCAGTGAACCCGCCTCCGTACGGAGTCACAGTGCAGCCGTCCCGGCCCTTCCCTGCGCAGCCCCCGTACTCCCTGCCCTCCCAGACCGGGTGGAGGCCAGTGTGACCTGTGCACGTCCCCTCCTCGCCCCCACATATGCTTACTGTAGCGTGTCTGGCTCTTCCCTTGTCCTTCCCGCGCCCCTCCTGCCCCCTCCTCGAAGGACTCGGCTGCATCGTTGTTTTCCCATGTCCTCTCCCACTCACACCATTACATCTTTCCCCATCTCCGAAAGCTTGCCTCGGCCCCCTCGCCTGCCTTCCTTCCCTTCCCGGGGAGGCTCATTGTCTGGGTTTCTGTTCCCCGTCCTGCCACAGCCCACCACTCCCCTCCCTGACTGAAAGCTGCTCACCCCCTCACCAAGCCCCGTTGGCCTCTGCAGCTCCCAACACTCTGGACTGTCTTCTGCTCCTGTGGCCCAGGCTCGCCAGGTCTCTGGCGCTCGCCCACCCGTCCTTGTCATGCTTCCAGCTACGCCTGCCACTGCCCAGCTCACCCGTCTCCGGGGCTGCCCCCTGCCTGAAGGGCAAGGCTGTCAGCTGGGCAGGAAGACCACCTGTGCTGGTGCATGGGAAGCCTGTGCTAGATCTCCCCCGCACGAGTAACAATAAAAATGAATTGGCTACAGAACCTCCTGGAACATAGGAGGTGCTCTGGGTACTTAACAGTTAAACGTAGTCACCAGAAGAGCTCAGAGGAAGCCATTTTCATGCCCAAATGTGAGACTCAAAGAAAGGGGAGCTCCTGTTGAGGATTGGGAAGATCTAGATTCAAACTCTGGAAGCCAGTCCCAGAACCTTTACCTATTAAAATAGGCCTGGCTCCTCCTGCTGAGCAAAACCACATCAAGGGCAAGCCTGGGGAGAAGCAGTTTTCTGAAGATTGTCCAGCTAATGGGCTCTGTGGCAGATCGACAGGCATTTGGAGAAGGCAGGGGAGTGCTCACTCCTGCCTCTGGACCTGGATTTGGGAGAATATGGTTCTCAGCCTTCCTCAAGGCACTCAGATCATCACAGTGCTCAGCCTTGCCCCTGAGGCCCTGGGTTTGGGCAGCAGGCTCACTCCCCTGCAAGGCCAGAGCTGCTCTCCACCCAGCAAGCCCACAGAGGTCTTTCTGCACCGGGTGGTGAGGAATTGGACATGGCCTTCTCTCCAGGGGATACTATCTAGGGGACTGCCACCGGGATGGTAATGGGCACTCATCTGAGTGTGGGCCTCTGCAATCTTAGGGACCCCGAGTGGAGAGCTCCCCCGAAGAGGAGACCAGCAGAGAAGGAAAAACCTCAGTCTCGGTAGCAGGGGCCACCTGACCGCTCTTGGTCAGCAGCCTCAGAGCACGGACTGCAGAGGCACAGAGAAAGGCGAGGGGCTATTGCAGTGGTCCCAGCATCCTCGGAAGGTCCTGCCCAGGTGTCAAGTGCTCAGGCCTGCCACCCAGAGGCGCGGTGCCTTTAGCAGTACGAGGCGAGTAGAATGACTGTATGACCTTCATAGGTGGGCATTTCTAGTTCTAGGGTCATGGTGTCTGTCCATGGGCCACAGGATTTTTTGGTTGTCTGCCCCTAAAATGTGGTAACTTGTCCCAAATGATGGATCTTGGTAAAGAGGCTTCCGCAAGCTTGTGTTTGTTACTCAAGAGGTTGCTGCCTGGCCTGCCAGGGCCGACAGGACACTCCGAAAATCCAGAGAACCGTATACCTTTAGTGCTGTTTTAGCTCTCTGCCAACCCAGCAAGACCTGGCTTTTCCTCCTCTAGACGGCAGTAAAAAGGTATGTTCATTCTCAGAATGCCGTTGGGGTCTCCAGGTGCTTCCAGAAAACCTGCCGTGGGCGCTGTGGAATAAGGACGGGGGAGTGACTTTGACAGGAGGAAAAAGCCAAGCCTACATTCAAGCGGATGCTGTTCTTCTGGTGAAGTGACCGATTTCAGAGAGCCCAGCTTTGGAGGAGGAGGAAATGAAGTATTCTTCAGGAAGGTCAGAGACCATTCATTCTTTCTTCCGCCTTCTTCCCATGCCCCACGTCTCATACTTCAGCGGGGGCTTCGGAGGCATGGTTTAATAACTACCAAAGTAAATTATCACCTTTTATCACCTCAAACAACTTTAAAACTAGTCATTTTATATGTATAAGCAATCTAAACGTGGGCTAGTATAATGGGGAAAAGTACGGTTCCCGTTCCCCAGAGGCAACCGGTACTAAGTACCCTTCCAGAAAATGTGGATGCATATTCAAATATCTTTTTCACACAAATGAGGATCATGTTTTACATAGTAGTCAACAATTAATTTTACTTAGTATATCTCAGAAATCTTTCTGCATGAGTGCATACCCATCCATGGTGCATTTTCACAGTCACACTGCCCACGGCAGGACCGGCCAGCCAGTGAATGAACCTTGCTCTATTCAGGGGAGTATGTTTACAGTTGCGGGTAACAGAAAACTCAGTTCAAACTGGTTTATACAATGAGGGGAGGTTTTTGGCTCCTGAAACTGGAAAGTCCGGAGGTGGGGTGAGCTTCGGGGTTAGTTTGATCCAAGTGGCTCAGCGACGCCAGCAGGATCTGGTTTCTTTTATTCTCTGTGCTCTGCCTTCCATAGTGTCCCCATGGGCCAGGGCAGAGGGAGGGCAGACCCATCACGGACAAGCTGGGGCCTTACTGTGATGGGAATGGCATCGTAGTGAAGCCAGTGAGGGAAGCTCCCCGCCACCCCCACCCCAGAACCCCCTGTGCTCGTCCTTCCCACTCAGACCACACGTCAGGGCGACAGACCCCTGTGGAAGGGGGTGAACATCGAGGAGGCTGCCAACAACCCTCATGATGATTTTGTGGGTGGATGTTTTAGTTGGTGTGGTGTTTTGTTGTTACAAGGGCTTATAAAAACTCCATGGTATCTTGTTGTCAGAATGACTTCTAGAGGGGTTTGCAAGGAAAACATGTTTTTAAAGGAGTTCTCCAAGGCGGTGGACTGACACTGTAATGATCGGGTAGTTGGGGCTGGGGCATGCCTATTGCTGCCAGCCCATAGCTGGTGTGGTGAGGGTGCTGTGAGCATGAGCATCTGTGATGGAAGTGTGGGCTGGTTCTGGGACAAGGGGGTAGATGGGTGGGGGGCGATGTCTCTCCAAGGACCCCTCCCACTAGCCTGTGGCCCTCTAACAGCACAGCTTCCACAGAGAGGCTGAGCATGATGGGCAGGGGAGCCCTAGCCCATGGGAACAGTGTTGGGTGGCATCCTTGTTTATCAGTGAGGACAAGCACTCAAGACCCAGTGCTGCCCCTGAGGTTGCATAGGGAGGGAGATGCAGAGTCTGGGCAGGTACAAGCCTGGCCCCTGCCAGCCTGGCTGAAGCTCTAGGATGCGACACTTGTGAAGTCAAGGAGCCGCCCCATCTCCCCGCAGGCCCTGGTTCCTTGCGATGGGGCTCTGGGGTGCAGACAAGCTCACACGGCCTGATTGCGCCCCCTGGCGGCTGGGCGCTCCTGGAGAAGGGAGGTGCCCACGCTGGGCTCCGCCTGCCCGCAGGGCCACTTCCCCAGAGAGGCGGGTACATGTGAGAAGAGAAGCTGGGAAGGGAGAGGAGGAGGTCTTGGCTCCGTGGGGGTGCAGCCCCCGTGGAGACGGGGATGGGTTGTGGCGGCCTCTTCCGCTCCCCTGCAGCACCAGGCTGTGGAAACCAGAGTCATTATGTGAGAGGGGAGGGAGTCTGGACCCAGATTCGATTGGGTTAGGACCTGTGCTGTGGTGGGAAGAAGCCTGAGCCTGAGCTGGAGTTTGGGCTCAAAAAAAAAAAAAAAAAATTAGTACCTCAGTTTGTTCATTTTAATTATCTTTCTTTCACAAAGTGCCCAGGAATATTCCGTTCATTAGTGGAGATGAAAGAACACGGGGAGCCATGACTCCCCAGCCACCTACTCCTCACTAACCGTGTGGCTTTTAGCAAGTTACTTGAGCTCCTTGAGCCCTCTTTGTAAAATGGGGACAATAAGGGCCCCACATGGGGTTGTCTTGTGGATTACATGAGCTGAGGTGGTTTACCCATCACTTAGACTGTGCCTCCCGAATTACTGCCGATAAATTAGGGAAGAGCAGCTGGTGGTGGCGACCAGACTGGGTTCCAAGTCACAGCTCAGGAGCCCAGCCAAACGCCCCACTTCTCTGTCTGTTCAGGAACAAGGCTCAGAGGTCTGTAGGGAGA